CATATCCTTATCCTTCCTCTAATTCCTTTTCGTTAGACAATAGATCAGATAACCAAATTTTGATTCTTCGATCTTCGTCGTAGTAGTTGATACTTCTAGAAGTGCATGAATCATTGTTTCTTGATTTCTTTGTTGGATTTAGTTTATTTTAATATGATTTATGAGTTTTATGATTTGAGTCAACTTAAAATAATTTTGGTTTAAAAGTAATGGATTTGAATTTTGTTAAATTTGTTCTCTGTTTTATGCTTGAGGAAATGAGATTTGAAAATTAAAGATCTTATGAAATCTTTAATTAGTGCCTTGGATTTTGCATAAAATAGACCATTTAGCCAGATCAAAAATTTGAAGAGAGTGAACTTGCATCATCTTGGATTGATATTGTGGAGGCTTAAGATGCTGGAGAAGTAATTTAAAGGAACAGAAGCACCTTGAGTGAGAAAATGACATATCTATCAGAAAAGTTATTTTATTTATTATCAATTAATTTTAAGTTAAATATAAATTTTGTGTTAAAATTCATATGTAAAATTTTCACATAATATTAAAACAAGTTTTGTTTTGAGAAATTTGTTGTTAACATTTATAGCAAGTTCACAAGTGAGGGTACTTATATTGAGTGAAAAACCTCATACCAAATATATAATATAAAATTAAATACAAGAAAAATTATTTTATTATTAATTAATTTTACTTTTGATACAAATCTTATGTTAAGAATTATATCCACAATTTTCACATGATATATTCATGGATTGAATTTTTAAACTTTTTTTTTTTTATTTTTACTTTTTAAAACAACCTAAAAATCTAACAATAGTATTATACAAAATGAAGTACGGATACCAAGGGAATGAGATAATGCGACGGCAAACGAACAGGAAAATGGAAAAGATGAGCCATTTGCAATCGGTTACCAGTTTATTAGTTGCAACGTGTCAATGTAAAGAAGGAGAGTGGTGGGGCGGGTGTTGAAGGGCGACTGCCCTTAGCACTCCTCACTTTATTATAGGCAAACCAATCCTAAGCCCCCAACTTTCTTTGAATTTGTGGATAACTGATAAGCCTCTAAATTTATAAAAGAAGCAAATAAGCCTTTAAACTTCGCATTCATGCCAAACGAATTCTTACTTGTCCCCCACTAAATGCAAGAAAAATTAGACTGTGGGGTAAGTGATGTATCTATTCACCCAAAAATTCAATACGCATTCATGCCAAATTAATTCTTACTTGTCGCCCACTAAATGCAAGCAAAATTAGCAATGTGGGGTAAGTGATGTATCTATTCACCCAAAAATTCAATATAGGTGTCATTGCTCTTTAAGTTAGCATTAAAGTAAATATGAAATTTATCAACGATTGAATTTTATAGAAAAGTCAAAGATCTTTTATAAAAAAGATGCAATTTTTCAAAACTTACCCAAGTTAAGGAAATGACCTTTTTTTTTAATAATCAAAGTTGTTACATTTAAAAATTTTTTAATTAAAGATATGATCTTTTTAATTTATTAAAGAACGAAGTTTTTTTTTAATTAAAAACTTTTAAAATATAATAACTTTAATTAATAAAATTAAAAAGATTATAACCTTAATGAATAACTTTTAAAATGTAGTAAGTTTAATTAGTTAAAAAAAAAAAAGATGAATATTGTTAATTGAAACTTTTTAAGTTACATCCTCATATATCTGAAATGTAGTCATTAGTTTTTTTTTTTTTTTTCTTTTTTGTTGAGTCATTGATAATTGCTTAGACTAGATGGTTCTAGGTACATGTGTCTCAACTGAATTGGTTCTACAACAAAAAGTTCAAAAGTCAAATTTTATCAATTCGAAGAACCGGACTGGAAGTCGTAGTAATCCATATACGAGGTGTTTTTTAAGACCACAAAAATTGTTCTACTAACCCATTTTCAAACCACAAGTCTCTGTTTTAAGACCTCAAAAGTTGTCTGTCTATACCTTTGCCCCTCTCCATGGCTAGACCTGCAGGCCTCATCTTTCAACTTCTTCTTCTCGCCTTATTTCATGTACCCTGCAGTAGTGCCAAAGATAATCAGCACCAACATTGTCCCCCTTCTTCTTGTGGACATATTCCAAACATTAGCTCCCCTTTCTGGTTAAACACCAATCAGCATAACTGTAAAGGGCTCCAAGGATATAATTTATCCTGTGAGAACAACCATACAGTATTGTATTCAGGATCAGCAAAATTCTACGTTCAGGCCATTAATTATTTTAATCAAACAATCCGACTCGTAGACTCCGGGATTCAGAAAGGTAGCTGCTCCTCCATACCTCATTTTTCCTTCGATACCGTTACCTTCCCTTGGAACCTTTACTCCAGTTTTTATGACTATGACTATGACTCTATTTCTGTGAGTGATATTCTTTTCATAAGCTGTGAAAACCCTGTGAATGCCACTGATCTCTATGTTGACGCTTCTGGTTGCGTTAATGCCAGTTCGTTCTCCACGTCTTACCAGCCTGAATCCAATGGCAGCAAAAGGTGTTATTATGTGAAAATCGGCTGGACAACTCCGCTGGAGTTAAAAAGCTCTTGCCGGATTGAGCTGATGTCACTTTTTCCGTTTTCACGGGAAAAGAATTACAGGAACTTCTCTTACCTGGACGTTCACCGTCAGCTGGAATATGGATTTGAGCTCTCGTGGAAGAAAGCTCCTGACTGTAAGTGCTCGAAAAATAATTGCCACATAAATGGGAACAACAGTTGTGTTCCCGATGTTCTGTCAATTGGTCTCTTGTTTTGGTGGTTTTTCCTTTTCGTTGTTAATTTGGCGAAGGTTTAAATTTCGGCTAATTTTGTTTACTTCATGCAGATATCGTCAGTTTGGTTTGGCCTAGGACGAATGGAGAGCTACTATTAAGTAAGTACCTTTAACTTCTTTTTTTTTTTTTTTTTGAACAGAGTACCTTTAACTAATTTGTATACGTAAATATTAAAAATAATATATTGATGAGGATTTTAAAATGAATGAACTCTGTTTCTTAGCAACAAAACGGGTGGGGATATTGCCCATGATTAGACTTTATTAACCTCCCTACTCACAAGCTCTTCAACCTTTTTATTTCTATTTTTATTTTGGTTTGTTTTCCGCCCCAATG